AATTTTAAAGCATTTAAACCAGGGTTCACAAGTATCTTGAGATGGAGCATGTTCACCATAAGCTTTCCAAAGTATTCAGCAGCACTTTTCTTCAAAATAAAGTAATGAATTAAAACTCCCCTCAAATGCTCTTTTTTTGGCATGAAATTCAACATTTTTAAGCGTAAAAATTTCTATGATGTTAACACCTTCAGAAAATTTGACATATGAAGTTTTGAAGCGTGCTGTCAATACAACAAAATAAGATACATATCAAATCGCATATATATCAACATATGTGTAACTCCAGCTATTGAAAAAAATCTGCATTATTAACTGGTACACCTAATAAATGAAAATATACATTTTTTGCTGTTTCAGTTAACAACATATGAGAGGATGTTATACTGTTATATGCCATTGTAACAACAAATACACCAGAAGTCTGCGGGTTTGATTCCCAGTCAGAGTACATACCTAAGTTGCGGGTTTGATCCCAAGTCAGGGCCGGTACAAGACAACAAATCCATGTTTCTCTCTCACATCGATGTTTCTTTCTTCTTCTACTTCTTCTTCTTCTTTTTCTTCTTCTTCTTCTTTTATTATTATTAGTTAGGGTATTACAAATGTGTCCTCATCCCCCCCCATTAACCTCCAACCTCCCCTCCCTCCGCCCCGCACACATGCTTCTTCTTTTTCTCTCACTCCCCTTCATCTCTCTCTAAAAAAAAATCAATGAAAACATATCCTCAAGTCTTAGATTATAAACATCTTGGGGACAAGAACCATTCTTGAACTTTCTCCCAGAATATAGCACACTCTTCTACATAGAAGAAGGAATAGTAACTATAAAATATACACTGTTGGTCCATTTTTAGAATAAGGAAGCATGATTTTGTTTCATGGGACTCACATATAGAAAGACAATTTATCTAGAATGTGCAAGCAAAATCTCTCCTCTCCAACGAGCTAGAGGGCCAGCAAATGTAGGATGATTCAGTTTAGTAGATTTGATATTGCATATTTCTAATTTTGCTTTAGTTAGAGACAGATTTGACCACTCCCCTGTCTCTTTTAATGATTTGCTGTGAATAAATCCTTGAAGAGTCATATAACCCATGCCCATCCTCAAAATATACCAACTCTTCCATTAAGTCCAGGAAGAGAATCCATTGTCCTCGTGTACTTATATATAATGGTAAAGGCCATCAAAACATGAGCCAGTGTTCACAATGCCTAATAAGAACCTTACTAAAATAGTTTCCTCTCTTTGCTACTTCATGTGAGAGAGAGGACATCTGATCATGAGCCAAAATCTCATTGACTTGAAGAGCAAGCCTTGTCAGGGGTCCCAGGTCAGGAATAGGTTATTACTGCTACATCTGTGGCAGGCCTTTGAAAATACAATGCCATAAAGGACAGATTAGTGCCAATTATTTTTTTTTAAATAATGCTAAATGTGTTTAGGCACCAGAACTAAAATCTAAGAGTCAGAACCTAAGCCTTAAGGATCCAATTCTTGTTTTCTGTAACAGAAAAGTAAATTACTCTCCAAGTAAAACAATCTCCTGTTTTCTGAATCAGTGGTTCTCAAAGTATGAAGTCCCCAAATTAGCAGCATTAGCATCACCTATGAACTGGTTAGAAATGCAAATTATCCAAGACCTACTAATGCAGAAACTGGGGGTGGGGCCCAACAATCATGTTTCACAGGCCCTCCAGGAGATTCTGGGGCGCAGTAAAATTTGAGAACCACTGCTCTAGATAAGACCAAAGTGTGGTATGTGGACCAGGGCATCAACATCCCCAGAGAATTTGTTAGAAATGCAGACTCTCAGGTCCCACAGACCTACTGAATCAGAAACCACATTCAACAGGATGATCAACTGATCTGTATATACATTAAAGCTTGAGCAGCACCATCAAGGATGAAACTGAGAAAATCAATAATCGGAATAAATAAGTTAAATAAATAACAAGTACTTCTTCCTCATTTAATTTACTTTCCTCACTTACCACTCTCAGTACCTGGTGGGCCACGTATTACAACTTCCATCTCGCATGTGAGACACAGGAGACTGGATGATCGCCCTGATGTCACAAAGCCAGCAAGCAGAAGAGCCAGGATTTAAATACAAGAAATTTGACTCTGAAATCTAGGCTCTTAGTCACCACCAATAACTATTCTGCTTATAACTCCAGTAGGGTTTTTGTTGTTGTTTTTTACCACATCACAATGCCTCTCTATTGGCAATTTCATTCATGAGTAACCAATTTAAGCCTTTTCCTAAAACTAAAAATAATATATATCCATTTTAGTTGAACAAATGTTTATTAAAGTCTGTTTTATAACAAACAACCCTGACCTTGTGGAGTTTATAGTGCTAGGCCAATAAGAGTAAGTGCTCAATAAATATTTGCTGAACCAATCCATCAGTGAATTACTTTTTTATAATATGCTAAGTGATAAGGAGCAAAGATGAGACACCTGTACACTTTCTGGATATTAAGACGTTTCCTGTAAATGATGTATGCTGAGCTGAATCCATACAGAGAAGAAGGGTCAACCAGACAAAGAAGGAGGGTAGGAGATCCCGGGCATGCTAAGAGGTTGGGCTTTATCACGGGATTATAAGATTCACTAAAGTACTTAAGGGGAGGTATGGACTTAAATCGATATGTATGCATGCATATATACATAGTTATACATAATAAATTCAAAATATCAAGAATGAAGCCCCCAAAGCAATCAGACCTTGAAGTCTAAAACTAAACCATAGGATTTAGCTTACTATTGATCATATTCTGCCAGAGGGTAGAAATGTGTGGTTTGTAATTGTTGTCTTACCTCCCTACACCTGGGAATGAAGAGAAAGGGATTCATACCGGTTGTCTGCGGGAGGGGCAAGGTCCAAAAGGAGCTGGAGGAAATGGAGATTTGACCTGAGAACTGTCAGAAAAAGAAAAGGGGAGCCCTCCCTTAGTTTCATTATCAGCTCTTAGAAAGAATTATAGAAAATAGGAGCAGGACAGCTCAATTTGAGTGAAACATCAGTTTTCTCTTTGACACCTAAGTGATACCTCATTAAGATGTCTGCCCCTGAGAATTCCCCTGAAAAGTGGAATTCTTCTCTTCTTTAGCTTGTGTGCAATTTTTAAAGCAGATTTTCTTGGAACTTTTATTAAGAATTATAGATATCCCAAGAATAATTTCCATATCTTAGTATCTCTATACAGTGATGGAAGAAAAAACCTATTGTTTTCCTTTCTCTCCTATTTTTGCTTATATCTTGTTTTATCTCAATGTATTAAATAGATAAAGTAACATTGTTTAAGAAGACAGGGTTACTTGTATTATTCGTTGTATACGTCAAGGTTTTTCTTCATCAAAGAAACCAAATTTCCTATGTTCTTTATTAGGGCTTCAGTGTTACAGACCTTCCCCTTGAGGTATTTTGTAAAGCACAAAGGGTTCCAAAGAAAAATGCTTTCATTCTCAGTTGCCCAAACCAACCGTCAGACTTGTAAGGCTTCCTCTTCAATAGGGTGTGTTGGAATCTAAATTCGTGTTTGAGGCCAAGCACCCCACAGTCAGGAGTGCAGGGATGGTGTTTTTTCTTTGTCCAGACACCATCAGGAATAAGAGACATGACCTTCCCCCCAAAAAGACAGACATGACCCAAGAGATTGTAGGTCCAGCAGAGATCAAAGCAGCCCTCCTTCAGAGGAACCCCTCAACTCCCTAGCCTGTCCTCAGAGAACATCAACAACAGTCTGTGTGAGGGCAAAAGGGAAGGAGGCGAGGGGTGGGGCGGGGGGTGGCCAGTTCACTTCCCGCCAAATGACAGGAAAGCAACTAGAGAGAATGTCCACCCACCTGCAACAGCCTTGTTTGCCCTCAGGCTCTTTCCATCCCTATCTTGGCATCCCCAGTGAAAAAATAATAGGTCACCCAAATATTTTAATAAAATATTTTGCAAAAGCAGATTCAGAGTATTGGAACTACCTTAAAACAAACCAACACAGCAAAGAGAAACCTCATGTACATTGTTCTTTGGTTCAAACATCAATTCTTGATATTCTTGTGATATCATAAAAGCATTAACCACACTGAAGAGAATTTTGATGGATAAATGTTTAAATTACCTATAAATTTTTACCATATTAGTACAAATATTTTCATGTGTATGTATTTTCTTCAGATTTAATTATATGAGCAAGTAAGTATTTATAGACACAGTTACGGGTCTATTTTTGAAACTACCTGTGAAAATATTTTGCCAAGTACTAAAGCCAAATAAGGGGATGATCAGTTTAAACAGCATATGAAGTTGTATTGACATTACACCAAATTTATTATCTATTCTAATTACCCCCAAATTTTGGAGACATAGCAAAACTGGTTATTAATGGATTAATAAGCATTTGATAAATGTCATCTGCTTCATTTCCCACACTTTAGAAAACCATGTGCTTTGAAGGTGTGTGTTTTTATTAACCTCTTAGCAGTTAGACATTTCTTGGTCATATAAACAAGTGGGTTGTTGAAGAGACTAATATACTAACGTTTAGTTTTTTAAATGCAGGGATAGCGTTTATCTCTAAGATAAGAAGATTAAGAAGTGACAATACCATACCATGTCAAGTGGCTGATCATGTACTGTGATATTTTATCTCTATGAGCATGGCCCAAAAGTGGACTGTGTGAAACCATGAATCCTCCCCTACAATAATACTGAACATTTCAACCACCAAAGTACCACTTTGCCATTGTCCATGGCTGTTCCTTCTGCCTGAAATATTCTCCACCTCCCAAATCCTCTCCACCATTAAATGGAAAGAAGCATTTCAATTTCTGCATTTTCTGTGAAACCTCCTCTGTTCTCTTAGAAATTTCTCCTTTATGAGACTTAGAACTCTGTTATGCTAAAATAAATACATGTTTTTAATAAGCTTACAAGTTTGTGTAGAAATTCTATTTTGTGCCAAATGTTATATTCAGGATATAGAGAATATAAGTTTCTGCCTTAGGGAGCTTCTGCCTGTGAAGGAAGAGAGAGAACATCTAGCTAAATAAATTGTAATAATGTGTGTGCCTTTCTATGCTAGAGATACTCACAGGCACATGGAAGGAGCCCTTAACCTGGCCTGTGGCATCAGGATAGCTTTCCAGAGGAGTAACACCTAAACCTGGGAGGAAGGATTGTTGTCCAGGCAGATCAGGTCATGAAGTGTGTTTCAGAAATAGAGAATCACATATCAAAAGGCATGAGACACCATGTCCAATTTCAGAAATTCAAGTAAAGTGCCTGGAGTGTAAAGTGCTTTTTTAAAAAATATATTTTTTATTGTTTTCAGAGAGGAAGGGAGAGATAGAAACATCCATGATGAGAGAGCATCACTGATTGGCTGCCTCCTGCACCTTCCCTACTGGGGAATCAAGCCCATAACCTGAACATGTGCCCTGACTAGGTATCAAACCATGACCTCCTGGTTCATAGGTCAGCGCTCAACCCCTGAGCCTCACCGGCTGGGCTAAAGTGCTTTTGGGGTGGTGGGACATGAAGCTAAAGAGGTAGAGGGGCCACATTGGGAAGAACCATTAGTGCCTGTATCAGTCATCTGTTGACACAATGAGACTGCCTAACAAAATATCCCTAAACTGTGAGGCTTAAAACAATAGCCATTTATAATTACTCATAAGTCTATAGGTCAGCAGGGTGGCTCTCCTGGTCTCATTTGGGGTCTCTTACATGTCTACAGTCAGAAGTGTGCATTGGGGAGGCACCCAGCTGACCTTAGCTGAGCCTTCTCATGTGTTTGGGGGTTGGCTGGCTGTCAGGTGGTTTAACTGGTCTTGACTCTTCTCCACATTCTTATCATATATCTGAAGTAGGTTAGCCTGAGCATGCTCTCATGACACAGAGCAATGAAAAAGATATGTCCGGCCAGCATGGCTCAGTGGTTGAACGCAGGAGGTCACAGTTCAATTCCTGGTCAGGGCACATGCCTGGGTTTGGGGCACAATCCCCAGTAGGGGGCGTGCAGGAGGCAACTGATCAATGATTCTCTCTCATCATTGATGTTTCTATCTCTCTCTCTCCCCCTTCCCTCTCCTTTCCTCTCTCTGAAATCAATAGAAGTATATTTAATTTTTTAAAAAAAACTATGGCAAAAGAGCTGACCAGCAATGAAGAAAGAGCATATGTTTTCTGAAATGTGTAAACATAAAAGACATCAACATAAGGGTAGTAAACAGCTGTCCTCACACCTAGACATGATGCAGAAAGTCCAGCATACAAGCCATGCTCATGCTATAGCTACTATTATGGACACGAAGAGATAATGTTTTATTATAATGGGGATGGTGGTATGTTTTGGTCCCTTGAAACGCTTCATTTGCGTTGCCAATAATTCTAGCTCTTGAACATGGAATACAAACAGGAGGCTGAGAACCTTGAATATAACAGAAAGCTTTATAGTTTTATTGAAGATCTGGAGAATACATACAGATCTTGGTTATCTGGGCATTCTCTCTCACATGAAGTATGGAATAAGGGAAAGGCTTAATTTAAGGATGGATTCTGCATCCCAGAGGCAATTTTCAGAAATGAGTAGTCAAAGTAAATTAGACCAACCCTAAAGCTGGTGTGTCTAACAAAGGACATTATATAATCTCAAATGTTCTCCTTTACTCTAATTTGTGCTTTGAGATGTAACTATCCCTCAGGGTGCCAGAAATAGAAGAGAGTGCTCAAAATTCCCAAAAGTGTTCCTCTCCTCCTGCCTCTCTATCTTCCAACTAAATTGTATCGGCAGCCCTTTTCTCCCCTGAAGGTTTTTGTCTGAACCAGATACAATGCTGGGGCCTCTCTTGGAGAAGCTTTTGCTTCAATAAATTTTATATGAGAAATAAATGTGAGAGCCTCCCGTCTCTGTCAGTCACATTCATTCAAAATAATAGCTCATGCCAGGACCGGAGGTTGTGGGGAGGAAAGAGAGGGGGGAGGCGGTAATGTCATGAATTGTTTTCCTGCAGCTGGTACTGCTCTAGTAACAACTGTTCATGCAAAACAAAAGATCACTTCAGAAGAGCAGAGACAGACAGACAGACAGAGGCCAACAGAAAGAGATTATTATAATCGTATTTTAGAGATCAAACAGCTTGAATTATGTTTGCTGGAGCCTATTTAAGTTTCCCAGTTGTTTCATATAAACATTACAATTTAACAAACCATTCCATAATAATATAGTATTAATGTAATGGCAAATGCATGTAAGAGTACCTCCAAGCATCTAGCAGGTTTCTTATCTTCTATTATCTTCCCCGGTGCTGGGGAGGAAAGAGAAAAGATGTTAACACAGGGAGGCAGTATAGCACAGTGGTTAAGAGCACCGCCTTGGCATCACATCAGAATCAAGTCCCACCTTTGCCTCTTACTATGTGACCTTTGGACAAGTGTCTTAACCTCTCCAAAGGCTCAGTTTCCTCAACTGTTAAATGGAGGTTGAAAATTGATCCACTTGATGGTTATTGTAAGAATTAAGAGAGTGAATGCACATAAGACCTTGAGCGCAGTGCCCGGACCCATCAAGAGCACTTAGTAAATGCTTGAATTTATAATCAATAAATGAAGGAAAAAATACTTTTTTGTAGACCTCTCATTTTCTGTCCTCATCCCATCCCCAATCTAAGCAAAACGAGGGGAAGTTTTTGGAAGTAGCTGCAGAAAGTCGTGTCAGATTGCTAAAGGAGAATGAGATGGCTCCAATATGCCCGACTCAGCTCTGCTGTTGGATCGAAGGCCTGTTACACAGCTGTGCTTGCTGCAGAGGATTCCTTCTCTCACCCTCTTGCCCCAACCCCACCCTGGGCAGGTCTCCGGTCACACAGCAGCCACCACGCCTGTCCACATGGGAGGTGAGTATTACAGGTCTGCACCCAGGTAATTCTTGGAAGTAAGGATTACACAATTTTTATGTAGAGACTCGTCCCCTGGGGCAAAAGTCCATAGTGATAAGAAGAGACAGGTGTGGAGGGCAGGGCAGAAGACTTCTGAAAAATCTTTTTTTAAAATATATTTTTATTGATTTCAGAAAGAAAGGGAGAGGAAGAGAGAGATGGAAACATCAATGATAAGAGAGAACCATTGATGGCTGCCTCCCGCACGCCCCACACTAGAGATTGAGCCCCAAACCCAGGCATATATCCTGACTAGGAATTGAACCGTGACCTCTGATTCATAGGTCTACGCTCAACCACTGAGCCACGCCAGCCGGGCCTTGTCTCTCTTAAAATAGAAAAAAATTATGAAGCGTTCCTAGCTTTAGATCTTAGCTATTCCCCTAAGATGTTTACTTAACTGTCTACTACTTCAAAACAACAGCAAGAACGACCACATACCACATAACCTGAAAAAAAGCAAAAACAAAAAAACAAGGGCACATTATTTAGGTCTATGTGGACGGTGAAACGCAAGAGGAATTTTACAATTACAGGTTGCCTTTGACAAAAAAACCAAACGGCCCTCTGCACGCAGAACTGGTTTTAGCATTGCTTCGGCCTCAGAAGTGGGCACTGCGGTCACTTGCAATCGATTACAGACATTGTGAACGTCCACCCCAGGGGAAGAGAATCTGCTCACAGGCAAAACCCGACTGCTGTTTCTAATGCTTCCCAAAAGAATACAAAATACTGAAACATAGAGCTACTGGCCTGTGTCAAAGGTACAGGGCTGCTCACTGACACTGAGCCCAGCTAGCTGAAAGCACTGCGCCCTGTCGGAAATTATAGCGCTGTCATGGTGTCGTAACAAGCCTCTATCAAATCATAAAGCACTGTGGTCCTGCTGAGTCTTGAATGAATCAGCATCTGGCTTCCTTGAAGGAAGGGGGGAAAGTGCGTCTTGGCTTCCATAGAAGAGGACATGCATTTGACCTCCTGAAGTACACATCTTGCTCATCATTTTTGAAATTCTGCCTTTCCGTGGGGGCTCCACGTGACCCAATTTGAAAACTCTTCTTATGTGCAGAAGATGGTGCCAGCTCCAGAGGTTTCAGAAGGGCACTTGCTGTCTGTATAACTGGCTTCATGTACAAGAAATCCAGGTGGAGGGGGGAGGTATTGGAAACATGACACGCGGGTGAGGCCGCATTTCCCTGAGCCGGCGAATGTGGAGACCTGGTGGAAATTTAGTGAGCATGTCCACAAGGTGTTTCCCCATTTTTAAGGCTCAGCTAGTTATATGGTAACTAAACTCAAGCGCATGTGCTTAAGTACATACAGTAAGGCAACCCTGGTGAAAATCTAGGGCAAAACAGGCTGTTATTCCGAAGGGTTGGTTGCTAGTTAGGAAAGAACAAAGATCACTGGAGGTTATTCCCTGGAGTTGTATGCTGTGGTTGGTGCTTTAGGCTAGAGATGGCCTCAAGTTATATTTTGCCCTAATAAAATATTCTTACGGTTCCCACGACCTAGCCAACCCTGCTCTTCCCCTATTTCAATACACCAAGCACCTCTTTCAGCTTTGAAAACACAGAAACCTAATTTTTATCAGCAGAGGCATGTTCCAGATTGGTTTTGCTGCGTCTCAGACCTGGTCACTAGTAACATTTAGTTTCCACTGGCCTCCAATCCAGAAGCTGATGTGTCCACTAGAGGGAAAAGCAAGAAATAGCTAATGGCATGGCATCTTTTGTGTTGTTTTTGCTTTCTCGGTATAGCTGTACCTTTGAGGAAATAATAAGAGATATAGCTACCATTTACCAAGTGTTACGCTAGGCACCTTGCTAAAGTCTTTAAAACATGGCCACCTTCCAGAGGGTGCTGTGAGGGGAATAGTAAGATTGGATAGAGAAGAGAGGAAGAGAGGAATGGTATCACACAAATTGTTGCACTGTTGACGCCTAGCCGGAGTTAGTAATTTGTGTGGTACCCAAAGGTCACAGGCCTAAGAAGGCAGGGAGGAAGTTAACCAAGGTTCTCATGTGGGTCAGATTGCCCCCAGCTTAGGAAGGAATTCCAAATAAACAAACAAACAAACATGATCTCTTTTAATCTGTCCATTTTTTAAGTAAAACCTATTCTCTTCATTTTACAGAGCAGGAATTAGAGGCGTTAAGCAATTTTCCCAGGGTCAGAGGGCTGATGAATGAGAGCACAGAGTTAAGCCAGGCTGGTTTTGACATCCATTATGCAATGCAGCCTCCCAAGGCTGTTTGTGATGGGCAAACATTACACTTATATTTCAAAGGGCAAGGAAAAGAGGGAGGTGGAAGCTGCTAACTGGGAGAGAAGCGAATGGAAATTTTTGTGCTGTTTACTCACCCACAAAGTTTACTGAGGGACATACACATTTTCCGAGATCTTTACAGGGTGGCAGTACAGTGCCCGCCCTCAGGGTGCTAATGTTTTAACTGGAAAGATGCCTAAGGATCTGTCAGAGCCAAATAAGTACTGCAATAAAGTTATACACGATTATTGTGCGTGAGAGGGTGGAGGAAGAAGGGATTTTTCCTGACAGCTTGGCAAACAGTTGGGAAGACTTGTTTTGCCTACTAATCATTACTATCACATCTGTTTTAATCTTCTTATTAAGAACATTTGGCATGTGTTTGCCAAAATTAATGAATATTTATATTGAATATTTGAAGACTTCCAAGTCCATGAACTAAAAAAAAATTTAAAAAATAAATCTGTTTCTACATTTGCAGATGCTTTGGTAACAATGGAAACTGGTAAAATGTACACAGAAATGACAGGCTATAAAGTTGTAGGTACAGCTCAGTGGCTGAGTGAATTGCCCAAGCTTATGCCATGAGGCAAGTGGCAAATCCACAGGTCCTAGCCCACTGTTCTTTCGTGCAAACAACTTACATCCTCTCTGTTTAATTTTCAGAGTGTTTGATAAAGTTATTCTTTTTTATATGCTGGAAGGAAATGTGTTCAGTGAGGATTTACTGGTGGAGAAACTTGTAGAGATTTCCTACTGTCGAAGATGCAAATATTGAGACGTTGTGAAAGGATAACCTAAACCACTTGAGCATCTGAAAACTTTCTTTTCATTTTGGTCCTGGGGAAACGTGAAAATTATACGCTTTTGTAGAAAATTCTTTGGTTTTTAACCTCAGAAATGTGTGAGTGTTAAAGACTGTCTTTGTTTTGGAACTTGTGGATGTTGGAAGATGATCTGGGACAATTTAGGGATATTCATATAAAAGTATAAACTGCATAAACCTCTGTATCATTTTTGTTATAGAGACTGGCTTTCTTTTTTTGGCATATTTCCCCTCAATTTAATTCATGAGACTTTTTTAAAGCTCCTTTTTCTATACTTTTCACTATTAAAAACCCTCTTTTTTTTTTTTTCTTTCTCCTCTGTTGATAATTTTTTCCACTCCTATTTACTGGATATATAAATTTTTTATTTACATCTAAGCACTTGGAATGGGTTTTTTA